AGGTCGATGATCTGGTGGATACAATTGCGACTGTGACTGCCTATCCATTTTTTAACTTTTGATTTATATAGCCTGAAAGAATTCATTGCTTTGAACTGAGGAGGAAAAATATTGAAAATTCTTGGCCCCAGATAAACATGGCTTCTTTGTCCCAAACTTTTATACATTCTAGGGACCAACACAATTTTATTATTTACACGTGTTGTTGAATGCTATCTCCGTCCATGGTGATTTGGCAAAACACACTGAGACAGAAGTAGCTTCAACAAGATGGCAGTTATCAATTGTCAAAGTTCGGGAGTTCCTGTTGCAAGGTATTTTACAAGTGACTAAGGAAGAAAAAACCGTCAACATCTGCGTTTAATGAAAAAGAGCTTTCGTTCAGATGATGGGTTGAACCAAGATATCCATACATGGCTGAATGCTGGGGTCCGCTTTCGATTTAAAAGTTGTTGAAAACCAAGTGGGATAGTTCTGACATTGCCCTCAATATTTCTGTTGATTATAGTTGTTTCTTCATAAAGGAAATCGCCAATACTATTATTTTTGGGCAACCTTCTTGGGAGTACCCACTTCCCAGTTGCTTTTTCTTTGAGGAAATAGCATTTTTTCGGTCTAGTCCGGAAAGTATGAACTTCCGGACATTTTTTCTCTTCTTCTGTTTAGAAGCCCAAACAACAGCTACCAATGCAAATCTTCAGCGAAAGTTTCATTTTGAAGTTGGAAGAATATTCAGCATATAGTGACAATAATGAAATAAAATTTATTGCTTCGAAAACGCAAGCAAACAACTTGCCACTTTCATATAGTTACTGTTCTCGATTCGCTCTAAATAAGTGTCATATTAACTAATCGGATGCCAATCAGGGTGTTTCAAAATAATAAAAATAATAATATTTATTCAAATTGTTGAACAGTTGAACAGTAAAGCATTACAATAAACATTTACATGCAGTAACAAGGAATGCGTCTATGTATAACTAAACATGACAGATACCAATCTGGGCATATAAAGGTGATTAACAATTATTTATCGAGAGTAATCATTGAAACTCGTCATCGGTGTAGCAGTTTCTTTCAATGAGATATTTTTTCAATTGCTTTTTTATTATGCAGATATTCATTGAGTCCTTAATAGAAACAGCTAGCTTATTATATAGTTTGGGTCCAAGGTATAGGATAGAGAGAGATTCGGTGGGGATTCGCTATCGCCTCTAGCTCTACTTGCGTATGGGTGGTCTTGTTGGTTTGCCCTAAATTTTTCTCTATTTTTATAAACGTAGAGATACATCTGATATATACAGGGTGTAACATAAGTACGTTAAAATATTCAAATGACATATTCCTGAGACAATTTCAAGAAAAAAAGTCTATATGAACTTGTGTCCGAAAATACTTCGTTTCGGAGATACGGGGTGTTGAAATTGAATTTTTGGTTCGCTTTTTGAAAATAACTTTTGCAAAAAATAAGTTATTTGCACCAAATATTCGGTATCCGGGGTTTTTTTGACGTGGGAAATCATAATTTCGTATTAATTTTCATGTAACATCTAGAGGGCGCTGCGTACGCTGTCATTATTTATTTCAAATTGCCCTAACTTTTTTGACAGTGAACTTATGGTACTTTTCATGAAAAAACCTAATTTCCACACCTTTTCCAAGTAAAAAAGGTACACCTCCTCATTAACGCTGGAGGTTATCGTTTTCGAGATATTTATAATTTTCTATATCAATGCATTTTACTTAGCTCCTAGGGAGCTAAGTGAAGTTGCTGAGAACATTACAAAAACTAAGTATGTGATGGATTTCGTTAAAATAAAGAACTTTCTTCTATAATATGTTAAGAATGATTCGTTTTCGAAATACAGATTGTTGAAATCTGCTGAAATCAACAAGATATTTGGCAATGATAGTGGTAATGAACGCATTGTTCGACGTTGTTTTGCGAAATTTCATTCGTGAGATTTCAGCGTGGAAGATGACCCCCGGAATAGTCGACCTACAGTAATACAGAACGATGATTTGAGTACCTTGGTGGAGACTGACCCATCACAAACGGTACGTGGGATGGCGGAAGAACTGGGTGTCAGCTCCCATTCGATTTTTGATGGTTCAAAACGTATTGGAAAGGTCAAAAAGCTTGCGAAGGGGGTGCCCCATGATTTGAGCGATCGACAGAAATTGACACGTTTCCAGTTTTGTTCTTTTCAGCTTTTGCTCAACCAAAGTGTATTATCTACAACAACAGGGGACGTTCGGAACAGTAGGGGAAACCAATGAGCCACCCAGACAATTTTCAATGGCGAAGGCCAAGCAAGAAAAGACCATGGTTGATGTATGGTGGTCATCGATTGTTGTAATTCAGTATAAATTCTGCAACCGGCCCAAAAAATCACAGCAGAATGAGTAAATCGACGAAATCTACCGAAAATTGCATCAGCAGCATCCATCAGTGGTCAACAGAAGAGGTCCAATACGTTTCACAAATCACCGACCAAAGAGTTAGCAAGTTGAGCGCCGACCATAGCAACCTTTACATATGCAGGAACAACAACAATAAAAAACGATTAGTTCTATTATAATATGTATAATTTCTGGATGAAGCTCGTCCTCGTCAGAACAATAACTTAATATGACATACATGAATAACAAATATGGTTCAAGTGTCAAGTAAATTCGTTGCTTAACAGGTGAAAATGATAATAAATTACAATAACAACAATTATTTCAATCCTAACACTAACTAATTCTAACAAAATACTCGATATTCCACATCACAAATTATAGACTGAATAACATTAACTCTTGATTCATTTGTCGAAATAATAGGGATCAAACTGAACATTGGAAGAAAATTTGTGTAGAATTATATCATGAGTTGTTATCCAATTCATTGGAATATATAACAATCGAATCGAAATTTTTATTAAGTACTCATATATGGCAAATATTTTCATACCAGGTGACTGAGAAATGCATTAAATATATTGAAGGTGAAATAATAAAACTGTTTTCTGGATTTTCAAGACAATTGACAGTTGACTTAGATATGACCTTCAGAAAAAGTCTAAAAAATATTTTTTTTTCAATTGGAAACAGTTTTTTATAATTTTATTCGAGTCTTCCCCCATTTCCACTATGTACAGTTGTTTTTTATGTATTTAAACTTTACGGGTGTTCTTATATCCTTCAGATTTAATAAGTCACTCAGAAAAAGGTGAGGTGGAAAGTTCATTTTAAGTTGCAAGAGTCCATGAAAGATGTCTCTAGCCTATTTAATATATTATTACTAAACGAATTGAATAACTGTTGATTCATGGCATGATGCTCCTTCATAGCTGAAGGTGTTTTCAATTTTTTCTCAAGTGGATTGTTAATAGAAAAGTGAAATATTGTTTTTCAACGATTGTTTTTATCGATTACGTTTAATATTCATACATTTCAATTATCAGGCTTTCAAAGCTTCAATTCAACTTTTACTACATAAATCACAACAAAGTCCAACAAAATCGTTCAGATTGTAATGACTTTGAAATGACTTCCTCTCAAAACCTATATAAATTCATTGTGATTTTTCATCTGTAGCAAAACAATGCAACAATGTTTGAAATATCATATCTATGCAATTTTTTCAAATTCATATTAGATACTACCTACAAGACTAATAATTCTCATCCATTTGAGATCAGTGGAATATGCATAAACATAATTTGGTTTTCTAAAAACTCCTCAAAGGACGCCATACCTCTCGAAATCATAGTTCTGAATTACGTTAAGAAAATTATAGAAGCATTCTTTGAGTATTCAACAGAAAATAAACTGAATGAAAATGTAACCCAACATTTCATTTAGTACACAGCAGTTTTGAGTTGATTTAAAATGACATGTGAATTTCAATCACAATGGGGAAGGAATACCGAACACCCACTCACACGGGACAGTATCTGAACCACGAATCCAAACACCATCAACCGACTAAAAGAGAAATCATCAAGACTCTAGTAGACCGTGCTTTCGGGCTCTGTAATACGGAAGAAGGTATCGAGAAAGAAGTGAGCATCATCAAATATGATCTTAAATGAAATGGTTACTTCAAAGTGATGGTGTAACAGGCTTTAGCTAGAAGACAGCAAGAGCTCCACAAGGAAGAGAAGCCGCCACAACCAGTACTTGTACTCCCCTACATCAAAGGATTATCGGAAAGGATAAGAAGGATTGGGTCCAAGTATAACATCATAACGGTCAACTGCCACCAAACGGTCAGCTCCTGCTAAACCGGAGAAGCTAAGGAGAAAAGAGGGGATAGGTGAAAGCACTCGTATGACCTATAAATAGTCATCTCCTGGAGGAATAAGTCCAGTCATCATCCGAAAACGCTTGCAGATACTAACAATCGGAACGAGGTGAAGTAACTTGTCTTGAAATTATTTGATATTCATTTCTTTCTTACTGTTCAATTTTCAATTGTTGCTTGTATTTTATTTTATTGTAATTTCATTCTAGCGTTTGTTTGCTCAATATAATTGTTGTTTTCAGCTATTCATTTTAATTTTATTGACTCTCTCGGGGATTTCAAATCATTTTATATCGTATGAGACAATGGAAGTTCGAACTGATGAAATTCACTGTGAGACATTATCAACCACCTTTAAATAAAATGCTGTGTTGAATGTTGGAAAACAGCAAAGCAAAGAAAATCTTCGACAGAACATGTCGAAAAAATGATAAAATGAGAGGAAAGTGTCAGCGAATTAGTTGACAGGAATATTCAGTACTACACAAATTAATCAGTGAGCGAGTGAGAAAGCAATTTCTGATTTGCGTGTACAAAAGTCGACATCTCATTAGGTAGTCCTGAAGCACTAGAATTACTTGCCATCCAGTCTGTGTATCAGTTGGTGAATCAGTTCAAAGGGAAAAGTTGGCGATTTGGTTATAAGTGCTACGTATATCAATTAACTCTGGTACTAGAATATGGAAGTACTTCAGGAAAACCTGGAATTTGAGCAAATAAAAAGTGATATATCACAAAAATTATCTTTGCAAATCTCCTCTCACCAAAATTAACAACAAAAGAAAACCAATTGAATAATAATACTCGTATACTATTGGTTTACAACTGACTGGTTAACTTTCATTCAGAACTATGATTGGAATGGGTCGTGACAGAACGAATGATTTCTGTTCCAATTTTTGGCATTCACTGAATTTTGTGGGGGTTTCACTTTTGAGGACTTTGATACATTTTTATTCTGGACCACCGTTGTCCTAGGTATAAATAAAACTCAGCGTTGTATTCACAGCATTATCACAATCCCACAAGTTCACTCTATCTAGTTTTCATTGGCATCTTCGATTGTCTCCAGAGTTTCTTTTTGGTATGGATTTTTCGTAGACGAATCAACTTTTTCCGTATCTTCACTCTCGACATCCTGTGATTCTTCTGAATCGCTTTCTTCGCTAGAGTTTCCTTTGCCTTTCTTCTCTTTCCTCATTTTCTCCTCCATTTGTTGAAACTTGAGGGCTAGATACCTGCAAAAAAAAGTGAATTATAGTACGAAAACAAGCAAGGCAAAAGGGATATGTATGATATGTATGAATCACTAATTTGTTTTCTGACCCAATTCTTGTGATTTTTTTCAAACAGAACACAAGCAGTACAGGAAAATACTCAAGACGCTTAAATTCGTTCTCAAGAAGTTCATTCCACATACACACAGTTCTCCAAATGAAAAAGTTCGAGGTGTACTGAGTTTAACCTCAAAACGATGAGCAGCCAGAGTCCGTCGCGTATTTCTGATATGTACCGCTCTTGGTGGAATAAAATGTGCCAAGTGACTTGAATACCTCCGGTGAAAGTATCTATGAAAGAGAGACATATCTCGAACCTTTCTTCGATGTTCCAGTCTATCAAGTTTGCAAGTGATGTTCGAGTCCCCATTCAGGCGGATGGCTCTTTTCTGGATGGAATACAGCAGCTTCAGGCTATGCTTAGGAGTAGCTTTTTAAAGCATCAAAAGTTGCTGAGGTGTGTACTGTTTTCTGGTTCGAGACACTGTTCCAAGCTTTTGAGAAGCAGCCTTTCCAATTCCAGCGACATGATTGTGCCAAGACATATTGGTATCCAGTTTAACCCCCAACAAACTCATCGAAGCAGAAAGCTTCGGAGAAAATTGATGCCTGGGTTTTTATGGCGTCGAATTGAACCTTGGTACTTTCACCCCAATTCGAAATCACCTCTAGATCCTCATTGTATTTAAAATATTCTCTCACTTCCCGCTGAGTTTTTCCATAACAGAAGACGATGAGGTAAACAAGGATAAAACTCGCTATAAGAATGTTTTTGACACATCCTGCATTTATTAGATTATATCTTTAACTTTGAAATTCAACATAATATTGTTGTGTAGTCTGAATATAGTATAACTGAAACATGGGTCTCAGAATGGATCTTTGTGGAATGCCAATTATTATCACGGAAATCTCTGAATGTTCATCTGGTAGAACAACCTGTTGATGACCATCCAAATAGGAGGCAATCAATGAGCCTGTTTCCTGAGAATAGTACAGCAAACGTGTCATGAGAGGCAGCACTAGTAGTAGAGACAAACAATAAACTATTCACATGTAAAACAGTGTTATTTACGTAATATTAATTTATTACTTAAAAATATAAATCTGATATAAAAAATTATTTTGTGCTAGTATAATGCCAACAAAGCATTGCTGTTTTGCGAATTGTACGTCGGATAATCGATACCCGAAAGAAAACGTATTTTTTATACCATTTATAAAACCTCACAATAATGAGGTTAGATGTAAGAAATGGACACATGCTTCGAGGAGAGTGGATTTGACAGTGCAAAAAATAAATAAATATTCATATGTATGCTCTAAACATGAAATGAATAGTAAATTTTTCAATAGAGTCTGTATACTAACCTGTCTATCAATTCATTTTTTTTCCAGTTACTTTTAAATTACAGCATGCAAACCAACGTTTTAATGTTACAACATTGTTTTCCTTTACAGTTGCAAATTTTAGTTTTGCTCCAGGAATATTTTCTTCTGTTGAAAACATTCTTTTTCAATTGTACTTTACCATATATTTATATGAGGATTAGGCAGTGTTTATCCCTACCGAACTACTAGCGCTGCTAGTGAGTGATTTTTTGTACTTCAGGAAAAGGTTCATTGCAGTTGTATGCCTCTTACTCCATAAAATTATAAGTTATTCAAAAGATTGTTATGCATGATGTAATCGAATGCTTTTCAGAGGTCCAACACAGAAGCAGATGGCTTCAGACTTTTGTCGAAAAATTTTATGATTTCCTCAAAGTTATTCGTGAGGAAATGACTAGATGGCCGCTTGAAGTTTGAAATCAATAGGTACTAGGATTTTTCAGTACTTGTTGATCTTCTATCTGAAGAAAAATACTTCGTGTAGTTGAAGTAAACGGTATTATTCACACTAAAAGTTGTCGGCACTCTCAAAGGCTAGAAAACCAATACATAGAAATTAATCGGCTGCGAAATAGTCCACTTGGACTGAAGAATTCGTGGTTTGTATTGGAAGAGTCATAAAATTGAATTTGAAGGGAATGCGGGAATGCGGTGATGGTTATCGCCGTCGTGTTCAATTCAGTTCAATGTTGTACAAATATAAATTTAATCAGAAATGATTATTGAATAACGAATTTAGTTAGCTCCCTAACTATATTATTAAAGGGGAGCTGTGGGAAGGTAGGTTGCACTATACCGTTTACTTGAACTATACCATATCGTAGCTATTGATATAAAATTGAAAAAAAAAGAACGTTATATCTAAGAACTTACTTGTCAACTAGTGGTCCAGAGTAATCTTCTGGGAATTTTGGCGATAAGGGAATGATGTACTTGTAGAGCCTCTCGTTGAGTACGTATAGTTGAGCTGTACTAGAACATTTGACGTTGTACCACCAATCACAAGTGAGCGCCACCTGGCTGAATATCGTTCCATTTGGACATAGGAATGATGACTGACCTCCATTCAAGTCACAATAGTGCCAAACCTGGAAATATCAATTTCGTTATACATTTGGTGTAACTCTTGAATAAACACTAGTATTACTGCTGGGCTCGCGAGTAAAAGGTACAGATTTCAAACGACAACCTACATTTCAAATGAATCTATTGAAAATAGTTTTTCCACACTAGAACAAATATACTGTCTCTCGACAGTTCCTAATGTTATTCACTACTTGTTTTGATATCTGGTATTCCCCTGTTTTCTATCTGTATTTAATAAACTACTCAAAATGAATAACAGAGATACATCCTTAAAATCCAAGAAGTAAAAAATAATATGTATTATTTCATGATAAAAACTTCTGGTGTGTACTCCATACTAATTCTTATCATGTTCCATTCGGTTGTTGTTTACTTTTTTACTTTTTTTTGTACTTTTACCTACAAAATCATTAATAGCGATTCCAGAGCTTGGAATCGCTACCAAATTTACGGCATAGTAAAAAGAGCCCTTTATCCCAATCGACAAAGGGCAACAACCCGCAGAGAAGATCGTTTCTTACGACTTTGGGCAATTAGGGGTCGCACCGATTCTGCTATAACTCTGCAAAATCGCCTTATAGAAGCTACGGGAACGCAAATTTCGAACCAAACGATACGAAATCGACTTCGCGAAATACAACTCCATGCAAGACGACCTGTTAGAGCCCCTAGATTAACTCCAGCTCATCGAGGAAATCGTAGAAACTTTTGTCAAGAGCATCGTAGTTGGAATTTAGAGCAGTGGGCCAATGTGATATTTACAGATGAAAAAAAATCATGACGGACGTGTTCGGGTATGAAAATGTCCCGGTGAACGCTATTTGGATGATTGTGTGCAAGAAATTGTTCCATTTGGAGGTGGATCGATAATGGTATGGGCTGATATAACTTTGACAGGACACACGGACCTTTTGGTATTTCGGGAATTGACTTAACGGCTGTCCGTTACATAGAGGAGATATTGGAACCTCATGTCGTCCCATTTGCCCAAAATATGGGCGCTGGTTTTACAACAAGATAATGCTAGGCCACACGTAGCCAGGGTCGTGAGAAATTTCCTTCAGGAGCACAATATTAATGTCAAGAGATGGCCAGCTAATAGTCCGGATCTAAATCCTATTGATCAGCTCTGAAATGAACTGGAAAGACGTTTGAAGGATCATCAACCCTTCCAAAATCTGAACCAACTTGCAGATGCTCTTTTGGCGATTTACGAGCAGTTACCACAAAAAATAATTAGAAATTTGGTGGAACTGCCTCGTCGTTGTGCCGAACTTCTTAGAGCCAGGGGTGGACGTACTCACTATTATTGTACATTTTTCTTCAAGGACATGTCTCTATATTCATTTTGAGTAGTTTATTTAAACGAGCAAATAACGAGCTGTTTGGAATGGAAGGGGTTATTGTGACTCTGGTAGAGAGGGCAAGACGTATCTGCTAACCAAAGGACTACAAGAGAAAAAGTGTCATCTGAATAATGTGTTTCTGGGTAACAAATATAACAACTCCGAAATCAACCGAGTCTCATGACCGATTCAGAAACACTCCACGGTGACACAGAAGCGAACGGCCATTGGAAGAACTTTTCTGTCCTACACAAGCGGCGTGACGGACCGAATTCGAATGATTCTCGAGAAACATGGAGTTAGGACCACAAGCCCACATGATCAGCAGAAGATCCCAGGGATTCATTGAATACACCAGGAGTATACCGAATACTGTATGGTTGTGGTCCGTTTTACATTGAAATCACGAATGGAAGCGTTAAAACGCACTTGATTGAGCATAAAAGAAGTTGCTGCTATGGCCAAACAGATGAATCGGCAGTTGCAAGTTACAGAACACGCTCTCTCAGAGGTCAACCATGACATGGCCTTCGAACGCACGCATGTTTTTGATAAAACCGACGAATTTTTGAGATCGTACATATCAACAGGTTTCTAGATACATTTGGAGGTTTTGACATCGAAAAATGTGGAACATCTATGAACAGCCACAAAAGTAGAAAACAGGTGAGTATTGGATATCACAATTGGTTTACAATATAACACAATAAGAGACCACTATCTTGTTGGTTCATCATGCTTGGAAGATAACACGGAGAAAGTCCCACAGAAAATAGAAACTGTCCCACCTCGTCTACATGGCTTAGCAAAAGTCCATAAAAAATGTTCCACTAACACCATGTCATGAATGAGATAAGTTCACCAACTGATGAGCTGGCCAAATTCCATCGCAACCACTCACTGAAAAAAACAGGGTTATTCTTTCAATGATTTGGGACATCTCATTGAAAAAACTATAGATATGAGGTTAGGTTTAGAAGAAATACTAGTGAGTGGCCCCCTAGTACATTATGGTTCCGGTTAAAGACACTATACGGCTAATTGGTGCTGTATTCCCAGAAGACATAACAGCTCTGTTCGCTCATTATTTGTCATCACCAGGAAGGTCTCACAGAAATCTGAAGCTATCCCACCAGGTCTATATGGCTCAGCAAAAATTCATAAAGGAAATGTGTTATCAAAACCATGTCGCAAATGCGATAAGTTCACCAAGTTATGAGCTAGTTGAATCCCTAAACGTCTCTTCTGAAGCCGCTCTCAGAAAAACAGTTATCCATCAATGACTTGATACATTTCATTGAAAGGTCCAGGAGACCTATCAGTGAACTTCCACTTGGTCTCCTTGTATACGATGATTCCTACCAAAAACATAGGCTTTTGTATTCCCAGCAGACATAACCCCCTTGTTCTGTAACTGTTAGCTAAGCCCAAAGAGTCTATAGTCTGTATCTTCAGCCTAACCTTCAGGTGCGGGTTGACCTACATTCAAACTACGAAAAGAAGTGTAAGTTTCCTGTTATATTAACACCACAGAAGTGCTGGAATGGCTGGCCAAGACTGGTTTCATCGCTTCATGCAAAGGAATAAACAAATAACTATTCGGAAGCCGGAGGGTCTGTCAAGGGCAAGGATTTATGGTATGTGAAAAAAAGAGTGGCAGAATTCTTCAATACTTTGGAAAAAGTAGTAGATAACAACAATTTAAGAGGAAGACCTGAATGTATATACAATGTAGATGAAACGGGGATTCTGCTTAGTACGCGCCCACCAAACATTATAGCCCAAAAAGGTGCTAAAGATGTCAGCATGACCAGTGTTGAACGAGGTGGAAATGTAACCGCTTGGAATCAAGCTGCCACTGTTGACAATGCTACGAAATACTTTGATAAGACTGGAATATTTCTACGAAACGCGAATGCAATTCATGACCACAAGTTCATCGGTGATCAAGAGTCGGATATTATGGAGTCCCAAGTCCAGTCCACAAGTTCCCAACAACTGCAGTTGTAAGTAGATTATACCAGTAGCTGATACAGTATCAGCTGCAAGTTCACGACAGTCTGAGAAACCTCAGTCTTCCACGTGAGAAGATGAAGAAAGAAAGAAAAAGAATATGAAGAATAAAGCAACACCTGGGATAAAAACAAAACAGAGAGACTGTCAAGTACCCCAAGTCCAATCCACGAGTTCCCTACAAGTGCATCCACAAGACCAATCCTCAAGAGTAGAACAAGTACAATCAAAAATAAATGTACTAGTCAAAGTCACAAATACGAAACCACTTGATATAGTACTATCTACAAGTTCGCAACAGTTTGACGAAGTCCAGCCTCTCACCTGTTCAGAAATGATTAAAGAAACGCTTCCATCACCTTTGAAGTCACCAATTGCTTCTGAGAGAATTCGTGAAGGTTCAAAACCGGTTTTGCATTTGACATCACCTCAGAGTAAGACTACTCTTCTCAAAAAAAAAACAAAGAAGAAATTTAAAGAAGCCAATAAAACCAAAGAAAATAAGGAAAAGGCTATGCGTGAAGAAAATACTATGAAGAAGATGAAGATTGAAGCAACGATATATTTGGATTCAGTGCAGTGCTTGCGAAGAATGGTGCCTCGAAAAATGTGGTGATATGGGGGGGGGAGGGGGGAAAGGACGAGGATTAAAATTGATCTCATTATTAATTTTCTACTGATTCTAAGTGTTGAGTAACTGAAAAATTTGTGTGTACGATCAGATTTACCCCGAAAATTGGGACGATTCAGATATCTTTCTTTTTTTATTTTTTTAATAGCTAATTGAGAGAATTTATGGATGATTTAGGCTTTCAAATGTTTATTTCATAGCTGATTCATCAGCCATGAAACAATACTCAATACTCAAAACAATATTCAAAAATTCACATCGTGCACTTATGTTTTTTATTTCAATTCATTTGTATCAATTACGATCAATGACGTTCCATTGTCACTTCAGATAGATTTTCAATGAAATACAATTCAAATTCGGCGAATATTTCGATAAAGCACATATTTTATCGAGTGTTCATTGCAAAATGGTTGAAAATTATTTTGCACTAGGAAAATATTTTCGTTTTCAAACACAACCCCAATGTTTAGTTTCATTAAATGTTTCATATTTTCAAGTATCTCCAATATTCGAATGCATGGAGTAATTTTAGTTCTGATTGAACTAAGTGAATAACATTATTGAGAATTTTAGCAAAGTAACAAACTGTACCAGAAAATCTAGAATGTTCGAGGTTCAAGAAATAACAAATGTTACAATCAGTTTCCAAGTTGAATGATCACATAATAAACATTTTCTACATTCACTTTCACTTCAATTAATATAACGAAAATAGTTTATGAATAATAATATTGCACTGAAAACTGAGAAGAAAACTGAAGGAAAGTCCACCTTGTCACTGAATTACCGAAGGTAAGCAATATCTGAACACCCAAAACTGAATCTACTTTGGTTAATCAATTAGTTCTGATGACATCAACTTGTTTGAGGAAACCCACGTTTAGAAGACTGTTACATTTTTGGTGAAAGGGGGAAGCTCTTTGTTTTGGTTTTAACGATAGGTTACCTTTTATGTTTCGGGTTTTGGCAACCCTAGTGTTGCAATCTGGTAACTGACAGATCTATCGTAGAGTTGGACATTTTTGAGCTTATACGTATTCAGATCGTTTTGACATACGCACGCTATTTGTGTTGTTTAAAGTAACTTAAAAGATTTATCTCGGCCCAAAAATGGAATTAAATCGAGAACATTTTCATGCGATTATTTTTTACAACTTTCGACGTGGATTAACTCAGCAACAGTGCATGGAATAACTCAATTCAATTATTGGCGATGAAGCTCCATCAAGGACCAGTGTTTATCGATGGTATGGTGAATTCAATCGTGGTCGTACTTCATTCTAAGACGAATTTCGTGAAGGTCGTCCAAAATCAGTTGTTTTTCCAAAAACCATTGATGCTGTGCCGAACTGATATTGCAAGATCGTCATGTGACCTATTATGAGCTTGAGACAACCTTAGGCGTTAATGGGACCAGCATACATTCAATATTGCCTAAACATTTGACTGTGGAAAAAATTGTTCGCGTTGGATACCACACAATTTGTCAATCGCTCAAAAAAGGCTCGTGTCGATTAGTCGAAAGAAATGCTCAAAAAATACGATCGCGGTGCTTTGAAACACGTTTATGGCATCGTGACAGGTGATGAATAGTGGATTTACGCGTATGAGCCCGAAAGTAAACAGCAGTCGACTGTGTGGATGTTTCAAGATGAGCCAAATCCAACAAAAGTTGTTCGAGCATGAAGCACTTCCAAGCAAATGGTCGCCTGTTTTTTCGGAAAAACTGGACATGTCGCAACAGAACCACTAGAACAACGCAGAACAGTCAATTCTGAGTGGTATACAACCATTTGTTTACCAGTTATCTTCCAAGAAATCAGGAAAACCAACCGCCGAAGACGGATCACTCTTCACCACGACAATGCGAGGTCTCACACATCGGCTCAAACAACTGCATTTTTGAGCATCCAAAACACGGATTTGATGAATCATCTGCCGTATAATCCTGACTTGGCACCGAATGACTTCTTTTTATTCCCGCACGTAAAAAACAAACTGAGAGGTCAACGTCTTTCGACACCTGAAGAAGCGGTTGCTGAATTCAGAATGCATGTTTTGGAGATACCTCAATCAGAGTGGCAAAAGTGCTTCGACAATTGGTTCAAACGCATGCGAAAGTGTATAGATCCTCATAGGGAATATTTTGAAAAACAATAAAGTGATTTTTGATGATTAATATTTGTTTTTGTTTCTCTAATCCCGAAATATAAAAGGTAACCATCTATAAAGTATGTCAATTTCATCTTCGAATAAATACAACTAGTAGTTAATAATATCAATAAAAACTGTGCTCTCACCTGACAATTAGTATCTGGATCACCAAAGAACCCCTTATATCTCTGCGTCTTACAATTGAAAGTAGTCTTTGGTATGGTCGATAGAGCAGGATAATCAACTCCAGGCTTCCCAGGAGTCCCACCATCAGGAGTGTCTTCCGGAAAATGCTGCCCTACTGCTATAGGCAAATGAGCTAGGTCCCCACCAACACCAACCCCTGCCTCGTTGCTTATACCATCATCATAATCGGATGAACTACTATCTTGAACAATAATTGGTTTCGAAAGCTTCTGCTGCTTCTTAAGAGCGTCAAGGATCCTCACTAGGGTCTTTATACTGTTGTCGATGTTATCCGCTGTGAGAGTTTTGGGTAGAGTGTTAGTTGACTGGAGATGACTTAGAATCTCTGCCAAGCCTGAAGAGGTTTTTGTTGGAGGTGGTGCTCCGTCATACTCTCCGTATTGGATGGATACTAGTTGCTTCTGAGGAGCGTCATGGTAGTCGCCATATTTTGGAATATCGGGGTATCTAGCTGACTCAGGATATTCATGAGAGGTTTCTGCGGTTGGTGGAAGAACATGATACTCTTTATATTTCGGTTTTGAAGGGGTAATATCTTGGTATTTTGGAGGAGCTTGCAATGGTGGTAGAGCAGCCTGGAACTCTTTCAATTTTGGAGGAGAGCCTAGTTCATATTTGAGTGGATTTTCTGATGAAGGAGTGTCTTGGTAGTCGCTGTTAGAAATAACGTGGTACTTTGGAAACTGCTCGTACTTTGGTGTTACATACCTTAGCGGTTCATTATATTGCTCGCTTGGTGGTGCTACTTGAATGTACTGCGGAACTTTTTGTGTATTATACCTCTGCTTCTCTCTGAACACTGGTTTTCTCTGAATAACAATTAAAGGGCGCGGTTCTCGATCCTGAGGAGGCACTGGCACAATGATGAATGGTTTTCTTGTAACTTCTTGGTATGGCTCTAACACTGGATATTCCTTCTGACCGTAGTTCGGTTTCGAGGCCAAAGGCTTTGTTCCCTCCCGCAAACTCTCGAAGTTCTTCGCGTGCTCGTACTGGTTTTCCCCCTCTGCACTTGGTATGTCAATACTTGTGGCTGTGAACGTCTCAATTGTAGTTTTCGACGGTCGGAATATTTTGTACCTATTATAATTGACTTGCGGTTTCAGGACGTATCGTTGTGGCTGAATGGGGCGGTTGACTTGAACATAACTAGGCTCCCTATAGTTTTGCCTCAGCTTCAATTGTGCCAACTTGTCGTATATTTCACTATAATTCGGAACTTTGTTTTGCGGTACGTACTGAACTTCGACTCTTGCAGGCGAGGGGTTTTGGACCATCGGGCGAAACGGGCCGGGAATGGCGTTACTTTCCAGGAAAGGGGTGAATTTGTGCTGCGATTGATACAGGGCGTCTTGGCTGTTGTGGTAGTCATCGTAGTTGTTCACTTTTTTCTGGACGAAGCGGTATTTATCCACAGGGGGTTGGTAAGGTGGGCTGTTGAACGACTGGGTTTGATAGAAGTTGGTGTATGGGAGCAATCTTTTATGTCTTTCTGATGCGGTCAGCGTAATGTTGGCTAGTTCAAGTTTTTTGGTGTCGCTCATTTTTGTTGCCATGACGGATATGCTGGAGTCTTCAGGTTTATCATGGTGGATTGTTGTTATTCCTGTTGATCGAGATGGATACCCTGAAAGTGGAAATTAAGTTACAGTGGTAATATATACTTATTGGAAATAACGTTTGAAATCAAATCAATTCAATCACGAAGTGTTGGGTTAATTATTTTCACAGAAAAACAAATTTGAGTGTATAAGATATATAAAATAAAACTTTCCTCTGATCAGGTGTACTGATCAGGATCTCTGATTAGGATTAGTTTGCAAAAATTGAAGAAATCATTGAAACCATATCAAGAGGTTTCATTTACTATAGAATCGTTTCGGAAGAATGCTCATGAGTAGGGTTAAGTTGAAAAACAGCTTTAGCTGATACTTCTACCTTACGTCATGAGGTCTTTTTCAATTAATGTGAATACACGTAAAATATTCTGTATCTCTTGTGACGAATGAAGTCGATAACTATTATATTATTATAACACATGGACTGAAAAGTCTCGGATCCAAGAAAGAAAACTGTTTTTTTTGTTCAAAATTGGCTTAATTCATCAACGTAATCTTCACCAAGAGTCACACAATCATTCTAGCGCCGTTGTAACATCTCAATACGTCTTCTGTAGAAAGATTTATCTTTTGCCTCGAAATAGGCCTCACTTTCAGCAATAACCTCTTCTTTCGAGCGAAATTTCTTATAGATGAGCATTTTTTCAAAGTCAGCGAACAGCCAGTAGTCGCTGGGAGCCAAATCTGGCGAATACGGTGGATTTGGGAGCAATTAGAAGTTCAATTCATGTAGTTTTGACATAATAGTAGTCATGAAAAATTAAAACTTCCATGTTTTTCACCACTTTTATCGGTAACTATCGTTATTGCAGTTTCGTCCTATATTGACATATCCAAACTAATACAATAAAACTTTTTGTATAAGTTTTAAATTGGAAAGTTACATCGGAATGTGATATAACCAAGTTCACCAAATTGCATAGTTATTGAAAGTATATCAAGTTTTGATTCTTATTACACAACTAAAATGTTGTTCACTTCCTTGCTCATACGTGGGAGTACTTTTTAGCTCCATTGCAGCGTCACACTACGTATTTTCTCGTAAATGGAACAGATTCCTCGATTGAACTGTATTTGATTGTGAAATGTAAACGAACATTTAACGTTCTCAGGAACAGATGAAAGGCGATATTCAATATAGTGTTTCATATTCATGAACTTAATTTTCACAAATGTGAATGTTATGTATCGGAAAACGGTTGACTTTCTGTTCGAATGATATGATAATTATTTGTATATACAGTGTCACACATAAAGTTCTCAACATGTGGTAGGTTTTTTAATCAAAAATTCATTTAAAATTTGATTCCGCAGTAAATTTGAATTTGAGAAATGATGAAAAAACACCTCCTTTCCTTTTGTCATGTGATACTTCAAATTTGACGTTTTCTTCGAAAATCTTCAAAAAACTATGATTTTTTTGGTAACTTTCGAAAAATGACATAGAAAAATATAATGTTCATCAGTAACTTGAACATGATAATGCCTATCAAGAGCATCGAATTTTATAGATACTCACCCAAACTTTTCGAAAGCCAAAATCTGCCTTCTTTTTCACAAAAAATGATCTATTTCAATACTGAACTGAACACGTTTTCATAGACGTTCAACAGCAAGCCGTCTCTCAAAATTTCCTTTCGAAAGCAGCAAGTTAAACATTCAAGTTTTTTAATTTTCAATACTTGAAAACAACGCAACCGTAGAAAAAGTACAATGTGCAATGCGTGAGAAAATTACATATTTCTCAACAAACTTCTGCGCTCGTGAGAAATATGTCGTTTTTCTCACTTGTTGTATAATAATACTATTATGCGTCAATATGTGATAATGGATCAAACATGGCACCATCATTTTACATCACAATCAAAACAATCGTTATTTGAGTGGACTGCACGTGGTGAATCGACTCCAAAGCGTGCAAAGATCTAACAGTTGGCTGGCAGGTTATGGTATCAGTATTTTGGTAAGCACATAATATTCATCGACTATCTTGAAAAGGGGAAAAACATCAGCGACGATCGATCGAACACGTTTATTTTCTATTAATGCTGGTAGGTTAGTATTACATGTGGATTTATGTGGTGCCCTGCTGTAAGCTAGTGCCTCTTTAGGGGTTGTGTTGAGTCACAAAAAACTAATAATTGTTTTTATGTGTAGCTCAATCAAGGTTAGTGGTTAATGTGTTCATGCTGCTGGGTGTATACGTTTGGTTTTCGTAGGTACAATGCTTTTATCCTGTGTTGGTCGGATCAGTGGGTCTCCTCTCACTCCTTGGGCATTGCTGTTATTGTACATGGGTAGAGTTATCCTTAGTGGAGTTGTAGCGAGTGGTTCGGGTACAGTTGCAGGTGGTTCGTTGGCTTTTTCAGGTTACGGCGGGACTTGGGGGATAGGTGGAACTATTTATTTCTGGTCTTTTCTGGCAGTGGGCTGTCCTTCACCTGATTGCTAGCGGGAACTCGTCTAGGATGTCTTGGAACCTCTCCGGGATATCCTCTAGGTCTTCTAGGAGACTGAATTGTAATCAAGTTCACTAGTTTCCTCTGTTCATCTCTTCTGAATGGAAAGGTTGATGAGGAGACGTGTTCGTGCGTTTTGTCTGTTCCAATTTGTTTTGAGTGCGGAGTCTCTGGTTCGTACGTAGGTTCCGTATAACTTTCGTTTATTGCGTATTAGGTTTACTAACTAGGATCAGAGTGGTCTCTTTGTTGTCGTAGTCTATGATAAGTGTTTGTATTTTGTCGACTTGTTTGTTTACTTGTTTGATGTTGTTGAGGGAAGGTCTGTAAATTTGGGGTAGTGTCTGGTTGATGAGTTGTTGGAATTGTTTGATGTCGGTGAGTTTGTGGTTTTCGTGTGTGATTGGGATTTGGGTGTCTAGGGGTGTTTTGATGAGGAAAGGGGAGGGGGTCCGACGTGATTTTGTCTTCAGTGTAGGCTCGGTCGTCCACTGTTTCCATTAGGTTCTCTGAACACAGGACATGGTTGATGACTGAGGCCCCCTGATGACTAAAGAACGTCGGATCCTGGCACGGAAATCTGTATATGTTGTATTCGAGTTAGTAGTTCATGGGTAGTCTTCTGTTAGGGTTGGTGTTGATGTCTCCGAACTGGGTGACTCTGAATCAATAGCGAGTATTACATGGCGGGCACGTTTGTAGAAATGAAGCGCTGTTTCATCAAGGCAATGCACCGTGTCACAAATCAATAAAACGATGACCAAATTGTATTAATTGGGCTTCGAGTTGCTTCTTCATCCACCATATTCTTCAGATTTGATCCCCAGCGACTTGTTCCTGTTATCAGTTCCCGAATGAATGCTCGCTGGAAAGGAATTCAGCGCCGAAAAAGAAACAATCGTCGGAACTGAGGCCTATTTTGTGGCTGAAGATAAATCGTACTAGAAAAATGGTACAAAAAAATTGTATGACCGTTATAATCGTTGTATCGCCAGTGAGTATGTCTACTACCTGAGCAAAGTTAGTACAGAGCTTTTCTTTATTGCCCCCCCTTTAATTTTTTGAACAGGTCAACTCAAAAAATTGAAATTTGGGATGATGAAATTAATGCATGAATACTTCATTTTGACGTGAAATTGACAGATGAAACTTCCAAGATAGAGACGGCGCTATCTGAGAAAAAATTTAAATGGAACAGGGGTCTTGTGACACATCTTCCTGAAGCTCCTGACAAATGCTTCACAACCCTAGAATACAATGTCAATATCTTCACCTACTACAAAATGGCGGAACATTCAATAATTTCCTGAAGAAAAACACATCAATATCGATATTTCTGGAAATATTCCTCTTCATGTGCCATATGGCAATTCCAACAACCCGATAAGGTCTGTTGAGTTATTTTTTGTTTATGAAAACGACAAAAAATGTCAGTACGACAATGAACATCATTGTTCAATTAGAATATTCTCATTCTCATTCAATATTCTCTTGTATAGAAATTCACAAAAAGCCCCAGGCCATCCGNTAGTTACTTAGGTTAGAATCTAGGACAAACAAAGGAACAGGATTCTTGATTGAAAAATTATGGGTTTCTATTGGTTGATAATCTGTATCGTTATGAAAAATCTGTATCATAATGGATATCATTATGAAACGGATTATGGTCATATAAGTGTATTGTTAGAGTACGGGTGTAGAAAAAATTCATTATAACATTAATGTTGAATTTCTTATATGATACGCCCCTGTCCTGTTTTATGACAACTGTCATGATGACAGAAGAAGAGATTGTCAAACAACGACAGTTAGAAATGTTGGTTTTTGTAACATCCATTGTAAACATCCATTAATAATATGCAACATCATTTTCAATTACCAGAACCAGCACAGTGGTAGCGAGTGGTAGCGATAGGAGTACATAATTAACGATACAAATACAGTCTACTTCAACAGCAAGGCACTCCAGCACCACAATATTATACAATTAAAATCAACCGTTCAATAATAACTGTTCAAACGCTCAAAGGTGCGAACTCGTTTCCTCCTTTTCATAAAAGAGGATGTATGCATCTCCACTCACAAGCGATTTTGGTGAAATTGGTGACACGTTATAATCATTGTATTCGTGCCACGTGCCAGTATAGGGATGTCTGCCGAATGCTGTATAATGTCCGCTGTAGGTAGACCCATTGTGATTCGAAAGTGCATATAGATTATAACGACAAGAAGTCATATTGCTGCATAATTGTTCATATCTAATTCATCTACAGGAAATCCATGGCAACATTCAACTTGCCTCTAAATCTTTCTGTTAGAGAGAATCTTTCAAAATGAGACCTCCCCTACCCAAAAAATCAAACCACAATCACGTGTTTCGGGCTAATTGACCCTCATCCACGTCCCATCCGGTAAATGAATCCTACAAATTCATATCAATGAAAAATCTTAACCTCAACTTCAATATTTGCGTTGTATTCTGCTGACAAATAGAACTTTTCCAGTTATAAATCAAACAATAACACGTGACATTCATTAGAACTATGC